AAAGAACACGCTGTCAAGAAAATATTTATGTAGATGTACATCTTTCTGATCAACATATCCACTGTACCTTTTAACGATCTTATTGTGAGTGATTTTATTTATCAAAGAATGTTACAACTATTAATATTTTATTAACAATTTAATTGGCGAGACTATCATCCAACATAATACGGCTTTCGAATTTCGGACGAAAACTAAGTTTTATCTACTTATTTCAAAGGGACGCTACACGGAAAGAAAGAATTTACTGGCACAGCAAATTTTACGCTGTTATAATAAAAATATAAGTTATAAAGATATTTTGCTACAATAATGTAAATCTTGATGTGTCAGAAAATTTTTTCCGTGTTTAAGAAAAAAATGTGGAAAAATTTTTAAATTGCTTTAAACATTAAACTAAAATATTGTGCACTTCTTTTTTTATTTTTTTATATTCAAGAAAATTCATTTAAATTAATATAAATATTTTATAATAATTGATCATTATCTCGTTTTAGACAACCGAAAATTGAAACAGAAACTCTATTTTTTATTTTTTTCCGATTAAAGCATGTAGCTTTAAAATATTGCTTAATATATGCAATAATTTTAGTTTGCACATATCTCAAGCAATTTGAAAGAAACGGTGATAACAAAAGTGATGAAGCTCGAAATGCCTACACTTCAAGAAGTGCTGGAGGATAATGGTGGAAACAAAGATCTTTTGCTAGAGTTATTATGTAAATTTCGACTGTGGTTAAACCAACAAATTCATCTTCCTCAAGGTGAGTATTTTTAAATTTTAATCGATCAATTTTATCGATCAATATGTTAATTATCTAAAAATCTAAAAATATAGTGATTTAATAATCATGATATCCATGATTAATAATAAAAAATCCACAATATTTTATTTGTAATTTTTTATCGTTTTTTTTTTATTGAATGAATCTTACATAATGATGAGCATTATTTTACATTTTACAGATATCTCCGACCAACGATTAAAATTTTTCATTTCTACCGTCAAATTTGATTTCGAAAAAACCACAAAATGTTTAGATATGCTTTACACTCTTCATAATCTTATTCCTGAAATTTACGACAATCTTGATCCTCTTAGCGATGATATAAAACTATACAACACATATTTGTAAGCAATTAAGTCAATTATAAGTTATTTTTAAATT